GAGTGTGCGTGCTGGGTGGCACTTGGATATTAGGTCGGTGATGTAGTTCGGGGCAGTATGGTGGACAGCTTTGTACGTCAGTGTTAGGATTTTGAATATGAATAGGAGTATTACCTATTATACCTGGGAGAGGAACTACAGGTGAAATACTACTAGCCAGGATTGGAGTAGGATCCAGGAGTGATCCTGAAAGCGAAGTTGTCCATTGGGTTGCCTAAAGGAGGTGAGGAAGCAATTTAGCCATTGTGTGCTGACACTTTCACGGATATCGTCACCATTGTCACGTTGCTGGTTTTTCAGTCATTTGAAGTACCTATTTTTTGAATATTTATGGACTTTTTGAGATTCTATGTTTGTGTGTTTTTTATGTGATTTGTTGTGTGGTCACATTGGCACCAATCACTGTTGTGATATCCCCTGTTTATGGGGGTTTATGTTGTAGCATTTTAAGTTGCTATAATATTTATAAGAGTGATTTCACAATTGTGTAGTCAGATTTCACTGATTATAGGTCACTTATGTGACCACAGATCACATTGGGTTGGGCACTTCATGCACGTTTATTGATATATTATTCATTTATTGGGGCACAGTGAATTATATTTATTTTTAACACTATTGATTATAATTTTTTTTTTTTTTTATTAGCGCTGCACTATTTTTGAGAATCAATTGTTTATTATTTCAAAAAAAAGATTAACATCCATTCTATTATTTAAGCCAAAAGGGACCCTGGTATTAAGCGTATGAATCCAGAATACTTCACGCTTAAGTAAGGTGCGGTGTATATCCCTCCTCTTATAGGTTTCCTGACCTCCTTAGAGGCTTTAAGGCAGCTTGATACAAGCACTTATCTTGTACTTGATAATAATCCCACCCTCCTTTTTAACCCCTTGCCTACAGGGCACTTATACCCCCTTCCTGCCCAGGCCAATTTTCAGCGTTCAGCGCTGTCGCAATTTGAATGACAATTGCGCGGTCATGCAACACTGTACCCATATGACATTTTTATCATTTTTTTGTGACAGATAGAGCTTTATTCTGGTGCTATTTAATCACCTCTGGGTTTTTTATTTTTTCTTAAACCAAAAACCACTGAAAATTTTTGAAAAAAAAAAAGTTTTTTCTTAGTTTTTGTTATAAAATTTTGTAAATAAGTGATTTTTTTTCCTTCGCTGATGTGCACTAATGAGGCTGCACTGATGGACACTGATAGGTGGCACTGATGAGGAGGCACTGGTAGGTGGCACTGATGGGCATTGACAGGTATCACTGATGGGCACTGATACATGGCACTGATACATGGCACTGATACATGGCACTGATACATGGCACTGATACATGGCACTGATACATAGCACTGATAGGCAGCACTGACTAGCACTGACAGGCGGCACTGACAGGCGGCACTGATGCGCACTGATAGGCAGCACTGATGCGCACTGATAGGCGGCACTGACTGGCAGCACTGATAGGTGGCACTGATTAGCATTGATAGGTGGCATTGACCAGCACTGATGGGTGACACTGAAAAGCAGCTCAGATGGGCACTGATATGTGGCATTGATGTGCACTGGTGTGCACTGATATGTGGCACTGATGGGCACTGGCACGAGGCACTGACATAAGGCACTGATGGACACTGACAGGTGGCACTACTGGGGCTACACTGATCATCAGGGAACACTGATCATTAGTGCCCTGGTGATCAGTGTACATGTCCCCTCTGCGGAAAGCCAATTACTGGCTCTCCTCTGTCAGCATGACAGCTCGAGAGGAGAGAAATGCCGATAACCGGCATTTCCCTGTTTACATGCGATCAGCTGTGATTGGACACAGCTGATCACATGACCGAGCCAACATCTTTCCGTGATCGGTGATCCGCTGTGTCCGAGGGACACAGCGCATCGGCGATCACCACGCTGCACACTCCCTGAGCCACGCATGCGCAGTGAGAATGGGAGGACGTCATATGACATCCTCCCAGAATGAGAGAACCACCTTGCGTCCGTCATATTACTATATGGCGGGCGGGAGGTGGTTAAAGAAAAGATGCGACATGTACTGGACACAGGTAAAGAAATGGGAGTTATAGATCAAAAAATTATGGACTTTTTGATGGCTGATAATCCAGTTATTCCAATCTTCCATCATCTCCCAAAAAAACACAAAAGACTTTACCCCTGTCCAGGGATATCCCATAGTGGCAGGTATAGGATCTTTATTCAGGGGCATATTTATCACAAGGCAATCAAGGGCAGCATTTTTCAGGGGGGCAGCACATCCCCTCAGAAGAAGGCATGAAAGAAAGGACACACGCGCAATGGGAACTAGGTGGGATCCGAGAGACTGCGGGCTGCTTGATGGTGTATGTGGAGCCCAGGGGCGGACTGACCATTTGGAAACTCGGGCACTGCCCGAGAGCCCGAGGTCAGTAGGGGGCCCCATGAGATGCCCCTGGTACCTTTTCCATAGGCTTTTTTGAGTTTGGGCAAGGACACAGGGGCCCCATGATACAATATTGCCCGGGGGCCCCATGAGTTGTCAGTCCGCCCCTGGTGGAGCCTGACTCCAGGGATTTCCAGAGCTTTGAAGGTGAGTGTCTTTCTCTATATATATCCCAAGGGGGGTAGTGGAAGGCTTTCCCAAGTGGGGGGCAGGGGTATTGTTTGTCAATGTCAGGCTCTCTGGGGGGGGAAGTTGGTCGGTGTCCGTGGGGGCAGACAATTTTTGTGTTGTCTAGGGCAGCACAAAACCAAAATACACCACTGTCTTTATTGGAAAGGCTCAGTGAATGGGTTGATGAACATCTGCAACCCCTAGTTACCCGGTCACCAGGATATTTGAGGGATACTGGTCATCTTTTAGCCCATACACATGAGATCAAGTGGACTGAACAGAACAATTGACATCAACATTAAAACATCAAAACATTAACAATAACATATAAAGCCATTTATAACTCCGCCCCAAATTATACATCACCAATCTTATCTCCAAATATCGCCCAAACCGTCCTCTCTGCTCCTCGCACGACCTCCTGCTCTCTAGATCTCTTGTCTCCTCCTCTCATGCTCGTCTCCAGGACCTCTCCAGAGCTTCCCCCATCCTCTGGAACTCTCTACCCCAATTTATCAGACTATCGCATACTCTGCTCACTTTTAGGCGATCTCTGAAAACCTATCTCTTCAGGGAAGCCTATCCTGCCATCAGCTAATAATGGAATCTTCTATTCCTCCGACCAGTCCATCCCCCACAGTTACTACCTTTTGTACCACTAGCCCCTCCCTCTTAGATTGTAAGCTCCCAGGATCAGGTCCTACTATCCCACTAATATTGTGATCAGTGCTAATAAAAAGCACCAACACTGTACTAATGACACTGGGCAGGACGGGGCTAGAGGCGAGTAGTAAGGAATTACCCATACACTGTTTTCTATCATTTTTAGCAGGGACTTTGACTTTTCCACTATCCACATGTTCTGTTAAAATCAAATCTAAATAATCTATAGTAGTCGGATGGCAGTTGTATGTAAATTCCAAAATGAAACTGTTATTCTTCAGATATGCAATAAAATGTTTTATCTCCAAAACTGTAACTGTCTAGACTAAGATCAGACCATCGATAAAACAGCTATATCAAGCAACATGAGGTCTATATATGTTACTGTGAGAAAATAGGAATGTCTTCTCCCACCATCCCATATATAGATTCGCTAGTGAGGGGAGAACTTGGCTCCCATCGATGCCCCTTGACATTGAATGTAATATTTCAAATCAAACATGAAGAAATTGTGCTTAAGCAAAAATTCTACTGCCATGCACAAAAACTCCCTTAACCACTTCCAGTCCGGACGCTTTTACCCCCTTCCTGTCCAGGGTAATTTTCAGCTTTCAGCGCTATCACACTTTGAATGACAATTGCGCGGTCATGCATTACTGTACCCAAATTAATTTTTTACCATTTTTTTTTTGAGACAGATAAAGCTTTATTTTGGTGGTATTTATTCACCGCTGGGATTTTTATTTTTTTTGCTATGTAAATGAAAATGGTATTTTGCTTTGACTGGCTCCTTGTGCTGCTTCTCCTTCCCTCTCTCTACTATGCAGTAGATTGCAAGGGGCCTATAATGGGTCAAACTCATGATACTTACACTGCTTGTATTTAAAATAATACATTTAAAGCAGAAATCTGGAATCTAAATCCATTCAATACATTATGTATGTTTTTTTACCTTGAATCTTGGTGCGCTTTGTGTATTTCTTCCAGATCGGTGCAGTAATCCAGCGTGACTTTTCCTTCCTGTAATACAGACTGCTCACTGGTGCGCTCTCTCCTTGTGTAGGGTGACTGGTCTCGTCTCCGCCCCCCCTCCTGTAGCTTTCTGCAGGTAATCTGTAGTGGATGGACCCTGCTAGGCCCCTCCCACAGCTCTGCTGTCTGTACAGGCTACGCACAGCGCAGTGATGATGTCACTGCTTCATTTACAAGGTAATATCTGGGTTGTTGAGGATATTTGGTGAATTGGTGGGTTTATATTCTTTGCGGTTATTAGGTGTTATTAGTCATCATCCATTATTTATAAAAATAAAAATAAAACGTTATTTGTGTTTGAGTTCAGCTTTAATGACTTATTAATGATAACAGAGTAACATTCATTTTTTCCCGGAGTTCATCCTCATCACGCAGACAGAGGGTGGCTTAGAAGATAAAGGAACAAGACTGATATAATGCCACGGGTTAAGGGAGTGAATCATGGTGTTGTCACTCGTCATATGTCACAATGTCGTTATCTGCTTAATATCAGTGTGAAGGGTCACAATCATAGTTAACCCCTCGCCTACAGGGCACTTATACCCCCTTCCTGCCCAGGCCAAATTTCAGCGCTGTCGCACTATGAATGACAATTGTGCGGTCATGCAACACTGTACCCATATGACATTTTTATCATTTTGTTCACACAAATAGAGCTTTCTTTTGGTGGGATTTAATCGATTCTATTATAAAATTTTGCAGACAAGCAATTTTTCTCTTTCATTAATGTGCATTGGTGAGGCTGCACTGATAGGCACTGATGAGGTGGCACAGATAGACGGTACTGATAGGCGGCACTGATGAGCTGGCACTGATGATGCTGCACTGTAGGCGTCACTGATGGGCGGCTCTGATGGGTGGCACTGCTGGGTGGCACTGCATGGTACAGGTGGGTAGCACTGTTGGGACAGGTGGATGGCACTGATGGGCACAGGTGAGTGTCACAGGTGGGTGGCACTGTTGGGACAGGTGGGTAGCACTGTTGGGACAGGTGGGTGGAACTGCTGGGCAAAGGTGAGTGGCACTGATGGGTGGCACTGCATGGTATAGGTGGGTAGCACTGTTGGAACAGGTGGGTGGCACTGCATGGCACAGGTGGGTCGCACTGTTGAGACAGGTGGGCGGCACTGCTGGGCACAGGTGGGTGGCACTGATGGGTGGCACTGCATGACACAGGTGGTAGCACTGTTGAAACCTGATGATCAGTGCCGATCCCTTCTCTGACAATTGCCGATTATCGGCAGTACTTTCCTCAGGCTGTGACAGCGTGAGGAAAGTGCAGCCAATAACCGTCAACTGTATTTACTCGGTGATCTGCTGTGTCATTGGACACAGCTATTCACATGGTAAAAGGCCGCTGTGATTGGCCATTTACCGTATCACGTGATCAGCTGTGTCTGTAGGAAACAGCGAACACCGGCGACGCCGGGTGCGCACCACTGGGAGAGCACAGGGAGCATGTTCTGGAATGATGTCCACGGATGTCGTCCCAGAACTAGTCAACCTTGCTGTAGCCATCTTTCGGCTATAGCGCTATAGGGAACTGGTTAAAGAATATGTAAACCCAACATTTCCTATTCCTGATATGTTCCTGCTGTGCCCTGTACTTGTATGAACAAGTATCCTATTCTCTTTGTATTGCTTCCTTTGTGTGAAATCCCTGGTGTTCCTGCCAGTCCCTCTGCTTTCCTAATAAAAGCTGACTACACTAGTCATAACAGCACAGCGTGGTCAGTTTTCTGGCTGTGCTGTGAACTCAGCCGGCTCACCTTCAATGATTATACTTCTGCTGACCTCCTGCACAGCCATTCACTGGAAAGACCAGTGTACTGCTGGTTCTCCTCCCCCAGCTCTCTGAGATCCTTATACATCTGAGAACAAAATATATTGCCTTTCATTTCTATTTTTGAACTGAATGGATTGTTTTACAAGGTGAGGGTTTACATATACAGTACATTAATGCTCACAGATACCCAGCTATACTATTATGTATTTATTTCAGTCGAGCCGTCTGAGGATCCGTTGACATCTGTGAGTTTTCCGGTTGTCAAGGTCCTACCTTTCTTCAGAGCTTGTGCATCTCCATGTGCTGGCATCCATCTTGGGTTTCTGCAAAGCATGGTGGGAGCCTTTATGCTTTCAGGCTTCTGCGGCTCCTCCTCAGAAGGGTGTGGCTGATCACATTTAAGCCTGTTGTCTGCAATGGCTCTTTGCATTCGTGTCCTGTATGTTCCCTTGCAGCAAGCTCCTGTTCTGTTCTCGTTGCTCTCCTGGTAACTGACTCGGCTTCGACAAGACTATTCGCTGCTTTAACCCTTTACCTGACCTCCCGTTGCTGAACCCGGCCCATGACCTGAGTATTCTTTGCCTACCGTCTAGTACTGTCTGCTCCGTTGTTATTGACCCGGCCTGTCTGACTACGCTACACGTGTTCCCATCTAGCTCCCACCAGCTGTACGCCATTGGCGGCAGTCGTTACCGCAACTGGGGTTACTCGGGGCCGCGACCTGGTCTCAGGCTGCGTCAAGTCCATCCCCACCATCAGGGGCCCTGGGGAAGGGTAGCCTGGGGCTTTGACTCCACGCCCTGAGGGACTCTGGTCTGTGGGTAGTGGCTGTCGCCAGTCGCGGCGTGACCTTACCATAGGCCTGCCTGCCCATTCCATCGTTCCTGCCCTGACACCGGTGCCATAACGCACTTTTGATTTTTTTTTTTTTCACACAAACTTGATGTCTGTGTTGGCCGGGTCACACCGTTGTGCTGTTCTTCCATAATGACCCATAGGAGTGAATGGGAGTCTAGGATGATGCTTGCGACCAAATGGTGATGGACTTTGCGAGAATACAGGAAAATAATGGCAAAACTTCCTCAAAATGTATTTGCTTCATTATTGTTTGTAGAGATCATTTTAAATGTTTTTTTTTTTTTTCGTCTGCCCCCCTACCCAACAATTTCCCCCCCCCCTTCCCCCCCCTCCCCCCCCCCCCACTCCAAGACTAACCAGCTAGGGTTGCCACCTCATCCCTTTAACACCGAACACATATTATATACACAGGTTCTGTGGCTGATTCAGGTGGTAATGAACCACCTCCTGCCAGCCATATAGTAATATGATGGCCGCAAGGTGGTTCTCTCGTTCTGGGTGGATGTCATATGTCGTCCTCCCATTCTCACTGCGCATGCGCGGCTCAGGGAGTGCGCAGCGCGGTGATCGCCGATGCGCTATGTCCCTCAGACACAGCGGATCATGGAAAGAGCCGAAAATGTCGGCTCGGTCATGTGATCAGCTGTGTCCAATCACAGCTGATCACATGTAAACAGGGAAATGCCGGTTATCGGCATTTCTCTCCTCTCGAGTTGTCACGCTGACAGAGGAGAGACGGTAATCGGCTTTCCGCGGAGGGGACATGTACACTGATCATTAGGGCACTGATGATCAGTGTGCCCTGATGATCAGTGTAGCCCCAGCAGTGCCACCTGTCAGAGTCCATCAGTGCCAGCTGTCAGTGCCTCGTGCCAGTGCCCATCAATGCCACATATCAGTGCCCATCTGAGCTGCTTTTCAGTGTCACCCATCAGTGCCAGTCAGTGCCACCTATCAATGCTAATCAGTGCCGCCTATCAGTGCCAGTCAGTGCCGCCTATCAGTGCCAGTAAGTGCTGCCTATTAGTGCCAGTCAGTGCCGCCTATCAGTGCCATGTATCAGTGCTGCCTTTCAGTGCCCATCAGCGATGCCTGTCAATGCCCATCAGTGCCACCTACCAGTGCCTCCTCATCAGTGCCCATCAGTGCAGCCTATCAGTGCCCATCAGTGCAGCCTCATTAGTGCACATCAGTGAAGGAGAAAAATCACTTATTTACAAAATTTTATAACAAAAACTAAGAAAAAAACATTTTTTTTTCAAAATTTTCAGTGGTTTTTGGTTTGTTTAAGAAAAAATAAAAAACCCAGAGGTGATTAACGACCACCAAAAATAAAGCTCTATTTGTCACAAAAAAATGATAAAAATTTCATATGGGTACAATGTTGTATGACCGCGCAATTGTCATGCAAAGTGCAACAGCGCTGAGAGCTGGAAATTGGCCTGGGCAGGAAGGGGGTATAAGTGCCCTGTAGGCTAGTGGTTAAACTCGCCCAGGGAGGACTGACCATTCGAGCACTCAGGCACTGCCCGAGGGCCCGGGGTTAGTAGGGGGCCCCATGAGATGCCCCTGGTACCCTTTTCATAGGCTTTTTTGAGTTTGGGCGAGGACACAGGGGCCCCATGATCCCCTGTTGCCCGGGGGGCCCCATGAGTTGTCAGTCCGCCCCTGAACTCGCCTAGTGCATTGTCTGCATTAGGGCTAGGTTCACACCAATGCAGTTTGCATTTGACCCGTTTCTGCATTGCAGTTTGCGGTGCGGTTTTTGCACCTGTGTTTTTGACACGTTTTGCTTTTTTGTTTTTGTTTTTTTTTTTACATTTTTCTTGTTGCCAGGCAGATTTAAAAAACGCAAAGCGCAGCAAAAACATGACAAAAAACACACTACATGCTTTTCTGCAGACCCTCCATTGAAGTCTACAGAGCCAAAAAATGCAACTTTTTGCGTTCAAAAAAAGTCTCTGACACTTTCCATAAAACGCATTGAGTGAAAATGCAGAGATGTGAACGTGTCCCATAGGAAATCATGTTAAATGGACTGTACTGCGTTTCTGCAAACCACTGAGGAAAACGCATAGGTGTGAACCTGGGGTAAGGCTAGGTTCACACTTATGCAGTTTGTGTGTGATCTGTTTCTGCAGTGCATTTTGCGTATTTGCACATGCATTTTTTTTACGTGTTTTGCGTTTTGTTTTCTTTTTTCAACTTGTTGCTGGGCAGAATAAAATGCAAAACGTATCAAAAACACACTAAATGCTTTACTGCAGCGTTTCCATTGAAGTATATAGAAACAAAAATGCTACTTTTTGCATTCAAAAAAGTCTGACACTTTCCATAAAACGCAGCGGGTGAAAACGCTGAGATGTGAACGTGTCCCATAGGAAATCATGTTAAATGGACTGTAGTGCATTTCTGCAAACTACTGAGCAGGGGCGGACTGACCATTTGGAAACTTGGGCACTGCCTGAGGGCCGGGGTCAGTAGGGGCCCCATGAGATGCCCCTGGTACCTTTCATAGGCTTTTTTGGGTGTGGTTTGAGTGTGGGCGAGAACACAGGGGCCCCATGATCCCTTACTGCCTGGGGGCCCCATGAGTTGTCAGTCCACCCCTGCTTACCCCTGACCTGTTCCTGTGCGATGTACACATTCCGTAACTGCAATGCTCGATTATACGTCATGATGATTTTGTGGGTGCAGTGCCCGCTGAACCCGACGCGTCAAGTGAATAGAGCCACTCTGCAACCATGTGCAATGCATGAGCTAGTGCAGGGTTCAAGGAGTAAAAGCAGGAGGTGAGGACGTGATACAACAGGTCCTCACCACCTGTCAAATGCTCTCTGAAGAGCGACCCAAATGTGGGTTGCCCTTCAGAGACGAAAGCTAGTGTGAATGAGCCCTTCACAAAGAAAAATTGCCAGAAAAATGAATTAAGGCATTCTGTATGTAAACCAAGCAGCTGGGCAATCCATTCATCTATACTGGGCCCTTGTTCTAGAGGAGGGTCTGCTATAGGTGTTAATAGTATAGTCCCATGGCCCCCTTTTCCTGCTAATTCACACTACGTCCTTTACATCTGGGAGAAATTTTAACCACCTCCTGTCCGGCAGTTGTATATAAATGGCCAGACGGTGGCACTGTAGGGTCGGGTGGCTGTTTATAAACGGCCTTACCACCCCTGCTTGTGCGCGCTCCCTGGGACACAGTGGAACACCGATCATAGGACAGGACCTCTGTGTGAGGTCCCGATCATGTGATCACTGATTGGCCAATCAGTGATCACATGCAGAGTATGTGATCACTGATATTTATGTCACTTGTGAATAAATACCACCAAAATAAAGATTTATCTGTCTCAAAAAAATGCTAAAAAAATTCATATGGGTACAGTGTTGCATGACCGCGCAATTGTCATTCAAAGTGTGAAAGCGCTGAAAGCTGAAAATTGGCCTGGACTGGAAAGGAGTGAAAGTGTCCGGACTTGAAGTGGTTAAAGGGGACCCTACGCAAAAAAAAAAAAAACAGAGAAAAAAAGCAAGGGGTTTCTCCCCAGTTTGGGTCTGGTGAGGATTTTAAGGGGAAACCCCCACGCACAAATTGAAAAAAGGAAAAATGATGCCCCCCCAAATATCCATATCAGATCGTTCACAGAACAGCCATCCAGAGCAGTGTGATTACAGTGAAGCACACCCCGCCCCCTAGCAAAACACTCCCAGCACCTAATTAACCCTTTGATCGCCCCTCATAGTAACCCCTTCCTTCCCAGCGCCATTAGTGCAGTGTCAGTGCTTTTTTTAGCACTGATCACTGTATTGGTGTCACTGGGGATGTCAGTGACACCAAGTCAGTTCCCCCAGTGTCAGAATGTCAGCCGCAGTCCCACTAAAAGTCACTGATCCAGTATTACTAGTAAAAAAAAAAATCCCAGTATCTATACCGCCATTTGTAAACGCTATAACTTTCACGTAAAACCAATTAATTTACACGTATTGGGATTTGTTTTAGCAAAGACACGGAGCAGAACACATTTTGGCCGAAATTTATGATGAAATTTGATTTTTTTTCCATTTTTTTTTACTGCATATTTTAATAGCAAAAGGTCAAAAATATAGGGTTTTTTTTCTCAAAATTGAAGGTCTTTTTTTTATATTTGGTGAAAAAAATAAAAAATGCACAGGCAATAAAATACCACCGCTTTTTATTAGCACTGGGACTTTTTTTCAACGCAAAAAAGTTGCGTTTTTGGTTCTATAGACTTCAATGGAGACGCTGCAGAAAAGCATGTAGTGCGTTTTTGCTACATTTTTTATGCATTTTTTTTAGGGGCACAGTATTCCATTGGACTGATATTGTGGACTACCTGCTCTGTTTTTATTCTCTTTTGGTTTATGAGTATATACACAGTTGTGTTCAAAAATAAAGCAGTGTGTTGAAAAAAGTGAATAAAGCTCAAAATCCTTCTAATACTTTTTTTTTCCATCCACACAAATGCATAACATGAAGAAAAATAGATCAAATTTATGTTTGTTTCCTACTAAAAAAATTGAAGAAAAGGAATATTCATACATTTCAAAAAAATCGCAGTGTTTGTATTCTTCTTTACAAACTACAACATTCACTATATATACTGAAAAAGTGTTTGTAGATTTTGATTTCCGGTTGAAGTGACTTTCATGGAAATATTGGGTGGTAGTCCGCACTTCTGTTCTGAGAACTGCTGTACATAACTGATGTTGGCATGGAGTCAACCCAACTTCTGGCCCCTGTGATCATGTATTCCAGCCCAGGATGAATTGGACCGCAACATTCCACCAGTTTCGCTATTTCTTTGGTTTTGCCCTCAGGAAACGGCAATTTTTGATGTCACCGTTCACCGCCACAAGTTTCTATTGGATTAAAGATCCTGGGATTGGGCTGGCCACTCCATAAACGGCCATCTTGTTGGTCTGGAACCAAGATGTTGCACGTTTACACTGGAGTGTTTTGGGGTCGTGGTCTATGTTGGAAACATCATTTTCAAGGGCATTTCCTCTTCAGGCATAAGGCAGCAGCATGACACTCTTCAAGTATTCTGATGTATTCAAAACTGATCCAATGATCCCTGGTAAATGCGATAAATCGGCCCAACACCGGTAGTAATGAGAAACGATCCCCATATCATGGAGCTGCACCACCATGCTTCACTGTCTTCACACTGTACGGTGGCTTTGAATTGCAGTGTTTGGGGGTCCGTCTGTCAAACTGTCTCCGGCCACTAGAACCCAACCAAAAAGAACAATCTTACGTTCATCAGTCCACAAAATGTTGCGCCATTGTCGCTTTAGGCCAGTCAACTGTGCTCTTTGGCAAATTGTAACCTCTTCAGCACACACCGCTTTTTTCCAACTGAGTGGACTTTGCCGGGGATTTCTTGCAGATAGCTCTTGGCTTCACATAGGCGTCATCTAATTGTAACAGTCCTCTACAGGGAAACGTCACACCTTCTAATCATCTTCCTGGAGCTGATTGTTTGGCTGAGTCCGCGCCATGTTGGCATATTCTTCTTATCCATTCCAATGGTAGTTTTTTTCGCTTTTCCTTCCACGTCTTTCAGGTTTTGGTTGCATGTTAAAAGCATTTGGCGATCATTTTTAGCTGAGCAGCCGATCATATTTCTGCACTTCTTGTATATGTTTTCCCCCTCTTCCGAAGTCAACATTTTTAATCAAGGTAGCTGCTGTGTTCTCGTGAACATGATGGCTGGAACGACCCATTTTTTCCTCAGAATTTCATATAGTAAATGCGACTGTAACCATGCATGTTAACAACATTTGAAGGCTGCCATCCTTCCTTGAAATAAGGGGCATTAATAGTGCCACACCCGGTTTTTCCAAGAATGAATGACCTCACTAATAGAACTCCACACTGCTGATTTATTTTTGAAAGAACCTGCCCCTTTCAATGAGTGATTCAATGACACAGAATCAGTCAGCATGCATGTCATGGGACTGTTGGGTCTGTTGGATTTCCAATTACTCCGTACTGCACCTGCTAGTAAATTATTTGCTATGTAGAAATATCATTTCTAC